TTATAAGTGGGCAACGGGCATTTTTCATGTCGATCAAAGGGGCACAATATTAATAGAATTCATCATAATCCCAACGATGTTGTACACTTTATCACAAAAATAAGTGACTCATCATTATCATGGTTATTAATTCACTTTAGATGGTTTAGATTTTATGAATTTGACAGAAAAATAACAATAATTAAAATTCATAAAATATTTTTAGTATCAATTTTTTTATCATTAAAATAATCACAAAAATTGGATATAACATTTAGATAAAAAGACTAATAACATTTAGATTAAAAAAACTAATAAAATAGTTTGAAGATCCAAAAAATCATTTTTAAAGTTATGATAATAAAATAAATACCAAATATAAAATAACATGGCCAAAAATATATCAAAACCGAACATGACATGATTGATTTATTTTATCAATATTTGGTGTATACATAATATTAAAAAAAAAATATTTTGTATTTTATTTAGAGAAAAAGAAATATACACTCAATCTATGAAAAACATATATTTAATTAAAATACATTTTAAAATTTAAAAAACTATTATGACATAGTAAATATAAAGATTTTGATTGGTTTAAAAAACTAATATGCATTACTTTTAACCTCTTTTATTTGTTTATTACACACTAATTTACGAATACATCATTCACTAAATAAATATAGAGAAAATACTCTTTTTCGTCTCTTAATTTTGCTTTGGGGTCTATTTTGTTCTCTTATCTTTTAAAAAGTGTAAAACAATCCCTTAAGTCTTAAAAATGGAGCACGTTTATCCTTCCGTCTGTATCAGTTAGTGAGTGTGTAAAATGTTTGTATATGTGGCATGACTGATGTTACGTGGCAATTACATGGTATATGTTTAACTTTTGTGAACAAACACAACATTCATACCTTGAATTTCTTCGCTTAGCGAGAGAACTTGAAGGCGAACCTTCATTTCTGCAAAGCAAGAACCATCGTTCAGTGAAGATAATTTGAAGGCGAACCATCGTTGGAAACATGTTAGATATTTGATGATCTGTATAAGTTCTGATAGGAATTAGAGTTTTCTGATAAATCTGATGTTTGCATGTTTTCAAAATGAAAATTTACGGTTTTCTGCTAAATCATTTGTTTGCATGTCTAGGTGAAATGGAGTAGTATATTGTGTTAACAAATCATCATAGTGTTGAATTTATTGATGGTGATCTTAGGATGTACGAAGGAGGGGAAGTTGCTGAGATAAAAATAAATGTTGACATATTGAGCTACTTTGAGCTTGTAGGGTCACTTAAGTGTTTAAGTTATAGATATTTTGAGTCAATCTATTACAAAGACCCGTCATTTGGGATGAAACAATTGATTGATGATGTTGTAGACATTTATATTAACCATAAAATTGAGCAGCCTGAGTATATAGAAAGTATTGTCAATGTCAATGAGGAGCATGATGTCAATGATGTAGTTGAAGAAGTTCTTTCTAAATTGCATGAAGAATGTGTCAATGAAAATGGTAAGTCCAATAAAGCTGAGATGGAGGTTGGAAGGTTGTGTTGGAGGATGAGAAATTAGGTATGGAGGCTAAACAAGCTGAGAAGGTTGTGTTAGAGGCTGAACGGGTTGTGTTGGAGGCTGAGAAGGATGGTATGGATGCTGAGAAAGATGGTATGAAAAATGGTGAGGTGGATGATGGCCTAAGTAGTGATGATAGTGAGTTCAACTATGGTAGTGTTCTAGAGGTAGATTTTAATGATTCTTCTGATGGATATGATGATATATAGGAAGATGAGTTGGCAAATCTAGTTGGACATGAACAACATGAAGAAAGAGATGATGTTGAACATAATGAGAGTGATGGTGAAAGTGAAGGTCTAGTGAGTGGGTATGACAATGATGATAGTTGTGGTGTTAACAAAAAGGCTCTTCCAATGTTTAAGATGCCAAAGAACATGGTTGATTTCAAATAGGAGGTGGGTGTGTACTTTAGTTCAAACGATGATTTCAAGGAGGCAGTTGCTACATATGATGTTCATAGTAGTAGAAATCTTAAGTTCAGCAAAAATGACAAGGTAAGGACGAGGATAAAATGTAAAGATGGATGTGATTGAGAAGCCTATTGTACCAAATTGTCAAATGAAGTAACTTGGCAATTAAGGAAGGTAAATGATGTGCATAGTTTCAACAGAGATTACAATGTGAAAATGATGGCTACCAAGTGGCTGAGCAAGAGGATACAAAATTCCTTAAAAACCAAACTTAGGATGAAAATTAAAGACATAAAGGCAAAGGCATAAAAGAAGTGGAATATAGGTGTGAACAAAACAAAGGCAATTAGAATAAGGTTTAAAGCTAGAGACATGATTGATGGATCATTCCTAGAGGATATTAAATGGAGAAGCATATCTCCATATGATGAAGACACCTCCAAGATATTGGAGTAGATATTATTTTAGGGAAACTAATAAATATGGTGTTATGGTCAATAACATGTTTGAATCTTTCAACAGTGTTATTCTTGAGTCAAGGTCCAAGCCCTTAGTGACAATGGTGGAAGAGATCTGGACATATTTAATGGGAAAATAGGCAACAGATAGAATGAGGTTTCAGAAACTTGCTGATGATGCTATATTGTCTAATATCAAAAAGAAAGTTGATAAAATAAGTAGTTACACAAATTCATGGATTGTGAGGTAGATCTTATGGATTGTATTAAATAGACATGTCATATGCTTTGAGTTATGTCTCTAATGTTATTGTTACTATGTAGGATGGTTGTTGAACACCTGTTTGAGGTACATCATGTGGAAAATCATGCAGATATATTTGTTGTGAATTTTAAAGAAGGGGGTGTGCTCTTGTAGAAAGTGGGAATTAACTGGATTGCCATGTGCTCATGAACTGGCTAGCATTAAAAGTAGGAACTTTAAGATTGAGGATTACATCCCTGTTTATTATAGGAAGTCACAGTACATGAAGGTATATTCATCTGTCATTTATCCTGTGAATGGATCCAATCTCTGGACCAGAACTGAATATCCAGATGTCCAGCCTCCTAGGTATAAAAGGATGTCTGGAACGCCAAAGAAACAAAGAAATCTTGAGCAAGGAGAGTTAGATGGGTCTGATAAAAAATGAAGAGAACAGGTTTTGCAGTCAGGTGTTCTAGGTGCAAGCATACAGGGCACAATAAATCAACATGTGAGGTGACTCCAACTACTCAACAGAGTGCACAGGGTACTCAACATAGTGCACATGGTACTCAACAGAATGCACAGGGTACTCAACATAGTGTACAGGGTACTTAATAGAATGTACAGGGTACTCAACATACTGTCAACCTTAGAGTCAACCAACTCCAAATACTCAAGGGTCTCAAAATACTGTCAACATTAGCCAACCAACTCCAACTACTCAGAGTTCCAAGAAGTCAACTGCTATTGGAAAACAAGGAAGTCATGCAACATCAACACTAAGAAAGTCATCTAAGTTGGGTGTCAGGAGGCCATCAAAACCTTTTGTTCCTTCTGGACCAACTACAAGACTAACTGCTGCCAAGAATGTGATTGGCTCAACTACAAGGAGGACAACTCCAACTAAGAGGACAACTCCCAAGAAAAAAACTTAGATCTGTATAGGATGTCATTTTGAATTTCGGTTATTTTGTGTAAAGGTCATAATTGATATTTAGAACCATTTACTATTGTTTTGTGTTATGCTTATGTATGTCATCTTGAATTGCTGTCATTTTGTGTAATGGATATGAATGTCATTTTGAACAAGTTTATGTTAATGGAAATTATGTGTTATGTTGAAATTATGTTTATTACAAGTTTATGTGCTAATGCATAATTGATCAACATTACAATATTTCAACATTTCAACATTTGGAACATTACAACATTTTATTACAATTTAACCTAGAATAATACAACATTTCATTACAACTTAACATAGAACAATACAACATTTCATTACAAAATGATCAACATTACAATATTTCATTACAACTGAACTGATATTTGGAACTTTACAACATTTCATTACAACTTAAAACCAAATCTAAATCAGTACACTGCAACTTAAACATTATAATTCATCATAAATCAAACCAGAATTGTTGCACCTAAAATAACAAACATAATACAACAATTTTTCAACTTCAGAATCTTGTTCATCTCCTTCCTTAATTATTCATTTGTCAACTTAATTATTTCAATCTCCATTGTTGCATTATCCAATTTCTTTGATAACTTTACCAATCTATAAATTATAATTTGCTCTTTGTTATCTTGAGCTTCCTCACAAAATCATTAAAAAAAACCACACTCAGGTTGCCTTGTTCCCTGCAATTTATGATGTATTACTCAAACAATAACAATGGAGATAAAAAACTTGTACATTTCACAAACATACCTTAAAATGAGTACAACCCCAAAAATATTTCCCATAGCTTTTTGTCGTTGAAGATTTGCGAAGAATTGTCAAATCTCCACGGTGACAAGTTGGTTTCCATGTGAGATTGGAAGTCGTGAACACACTGGAGTTGTTTGATTATTGGCTATTCTGGTTCATGAGAGACGAAGCACCTGATGTCATTGATGTTGAACCCTATGTTTCAATTTTGGCACAAAAAAAAAATCTTAACCCTATATACGATTAAAAAAAAAAATGATTCGGTGAAATAGAATAGGAGAAATGAAGGAGACAAACCATGTCATTTGCCACATATGCAGAGAAACAAACGTCTGTTTGCGGTAAATGAACGAAAATGACTTACGTGCTCCATTTTTAAATCTTAAGAAATTGTTTTGCATTTTAAAAAAAATAAGAGACCAAAATAAATCGCAAAACAAAATTAAAGACCCATCAAAATCATATACAAAAACCTACAGCGACATTTTTTTCTTCAAGATCAAAAACACATAAACCCCGCGAGAACGTTGAGATCCAAATTCCTCAAATTTGAAAAGGTCTTTTTCTATCCGTTCCGAAATTGTAGAGCCCTAATTCCCAAAAATGGAGGCTCTCTACAAAAAACTCTACGCTAAATACACCAGACTCAAGGTCTCTCTCCTTTCCTTCTTCTTCCTCTTCAACTACTATCTTCACTTCTTACTCACTCACTACTTCTTGCAGACTAACAAACTCTCCGAGTTCCACGACCCTGCCAAAGAACAAGAGCACAAATTCCGGAAATTCGTCTCTGGTAATTTATATTCTTTCAGTTTTCATTTCTATAGGGAACTGAAATTGTTCATGATTCTGTGAATTCATTTGTATTGCAGCTTCCGAACAGTTGATAGATCACTTGAGGAACGAATATGACAAGGTCCTTCAACACAACAATGACTTGCTAAATGAATTGACGTCGGTTAGGCATGTAGTATTGAGCAATCTACCCTCTTTTTTTTTTTTTTGCTGACATTGTTAATTTATCTGCGGTGGGACATTGGAGTATTGAAAATTGTTTTTCTTATACAGGCTTGCCAAAGACAAACAACTCTTTGATCTACAAAACCTTTTGATGGAAGAAACCAAGAAAAGTGAGACTCTTCATCATTGTTGAAAATAGCTCATTCATATTATAAGATACATGTAGGGGTTTCAGTTAGGTCTAAAGAAAAAATTCTCTAAGAAATTGTTGTAGTTACTTCTCATTTGTTTTGGTTAAGTCCTTATTAAAGTAGTGAGGCAAGGTTCTCCATTATGATAATACCTAGTTGATCTTTATCTTTAGAACTTTTGTGGGAATCTCTATTCTACGTCAAAATTTGATCATATTTAATTCTGTTATGATTTGTGAATGCAGGTTCAGAGTGTTCTTCCCTGTGTCTTCCTTGTTCTTAAATTTATTCCATTTCTGTCATTAGTTTTATTGAGAATTTGGGTGTGAATGTTTGGCAGGTGAAGCACTTCTTGAAGAAGTTGAGAAGTTGCAAAAGCGTCTGAACGAAGGAACTTCTGGTGATTTAAATAATAGCAATAAGGTCAAGAGCAATACCTCCATTAACTCATCTGTAAGAATGACAAGAAAACGTATGAGCCGGGAACAGGATGCATTGGACAAAGAAGCGAGGTTTATACCATGTGAAATTGATGAAGGTAATTCTGTGGAGAGAGAGTCGACACGAAGCTTTCGCAAGGAGAATGCTTCCCATAAGGTGAGCAAATAGAACCTTAAAAACATAAGATATTTGCATGTGTTCATTTATATATGAATGTGAATATAAATTGTAATTATAATTGTGTGTGCACATTTCGTTTAACTCTTTTGGTAGAAAAATTAAGCACCTTAATATGCTCTGCCATTTTTTGTTGTGAAAAGCTGCGGGAGTGCTCTGCGTCTGAGGTTAATGATCAATCAGGTTGGTATGAGTAATTGCTATTCACGCTTCTTTATTATTGAATAGTTTCATTGGTGTTTTAGCAATATTTTATCGGATCTTCATTATGTCTTACAGGCATCGATTTACAGGAAAGTGGTCATAGTAGCTGGCTTGCTCATGCTCTTTTTGAGTATACATTGGGTATGAAGTTATCCTTTGACAATCAAACTGGACGATCATGTCTTTTTGCAAATCAATCAACCGGTAATTCATACTTTTGCCTTGGAAATTTGTGACTGAAGGCTTTTTCTTATTATTTCTTAACCTTATTGTACATGTTTCTCAGATAACAATTATTTCAAATATTAAACTGCTTTCTATATTGTTTGAATGATATTTATTCCCTATTTTTCAATTGACAAATTCTGGACAAATCAATTTTATAATGCGGAAAACTTGCTTAAGTATCTAATCTCAGAATCGTAAATGTTTTTTGCAAGTGAGGGTTTGAGGGATATTGTGGGTGATATATTGATGCAATAGAAGTGGCAATGACTAGCAATAATCAGGTTATGATTGGGCTTCATTTGAAAGAGTGTAAATTTGACAGGAGCGAAACTTTGCAACTATAAATGAAAAGACCGACATGGTGCAATATCAGTTGTAATTTGAAATAATACGGTGGCACAAACAATTTTCTTAATACTATAGGACTGTTGTAGAATCAACCAAGTCCTTTTCTTTTTAATTTGGTCTTCATATCAAATAGCCACTGTCATGGTGTGTGCTCTTTGTAGATTATATAGTTTCTTTCTACTAAATATTCAAGCGAATAAATAAATGATAAGCTTAAGATTTGAAGACAAATTTGAAAGCATATGATGTTTCATTTTATAAGAGTAGAAAGGAGTATATATAATGTAACTCTCGTAGGAAGTATACTAATTCTTATGTAGAAGTGAAATTGGAGGCCATTCCAAAGACTTTGCAGTTTAATATTGGATCCATTATACAAGTTAATTCGGAAATATAGAAGTACAACTATCGATTTTCTATAAGACATTATGATGTTTGGATATTTTGGTCTATGTAGCCAACTCAAGCTATCGATAAATGACTTTTTGTTGTTTTCATTGTTGGTAAAAATGCAATTGCAAAATCGTTACATCTCTGCACTAACATACTTTGTTTTCAGCCTGTGGATCATATTTGGCTTTAAACTTTGAAAAGTCTGTTCTTTTTATTTTCAGTTAATTAAGAAATTCATGGACAGTAACCTATTCTAGATTCTTGTTTCACTTTGAAGACCTTCTCGGTTAAGAAATTCAATATTTTTTGTAAGTGTTTGTTGACAGAATAATTGTTTCACTTATTGACATCATTACAGGTTTCTCCTTCAGTATATCATGGATTGGCAAAACCCCTGGAGAGGAAGCTGGAGAGGATGCAGAACTGCTATACCAAGTACAATCTCTAGGCATACTTGAAAGATTAGTACCAGAATGGATGACGGAAGACATCAAGTTCAGCCCAACGATGTGCCCCATCTTCTTTGGAAGGGTATCGCGTGTTATCAATTTGAGATACTGAAGTTTCTTGTTGTACATATTTCCACTTCAATTATTTGGAGGAATGGTGAGAAACTAGGAATGACATTTGAGGCCCGAACATGAAAAGGATGTCAACATAATTAATTTGATTAGTGACAATGCTTTGAGTCGAAGTGGACGCGTTGGGAGGTGCGAGTAAAAATACAAGCATTCATGAGCTGCTCCTAATTCAGAAAACTATTCAATTTTATCTACATTATCAGTAATATTAGTTTATGTACTGTTTTAAATCAATCAAGGCAAGAGTTTTATGCAGTTTGCATTTTGGTGAGCTTGTATCTTTTTGTTGAAGACTCAGTAAATATTGGTTCAAAACTCGTGCAGACGAATAATTTTTCACTTGAGTGATACATTTCTATATCATTAAAGGGGTAACCCATTTCACTTGAGTGATACATTTATATATCATTAAAGGGTAACCCAGTTCACTTGAGTGATACATTTATATATTATTAAAGGGGTAATCCAGTGTATGAGGCTTCCATTTTATAGACTCTGGAGGATCGGATGTAGAGTTCGAATTCATGACTCCAGGTCACAATGGAACAATCTTACCGTTGAATCAAGATTATATATATACTGCAATTGGTATTTAAATTTTTTTAGGTTTGACAAAGTTATGGTTTATTTAAGTTTTTTATAAGTTATCTTTTCTTTTGACAAGTTTATCCGTAAGGGAGAGTTGTTTGTATGGGATGTCCATTGTGATCAAACTTTTAAGAGATTGAGAGACGATTAATTTCTATAGTGTGGTAGTTTTACCAGAACCAAACGAGCGCTTTTTTATAGTATGTTGATATGCGCATATTTCATTGATATGCGTTGTCTTAGATTACCTAGTGGATATAGGCAAATTAAGACTTGTGAAAAAAAAATTGACTCATGATTTAAAGTTAATTTTTGTAGTTTCTATCGTTAAGATGCGGGGATATTAACTGTATGGTTTTAGATTTGATGTATTAATTGATCATGAGAATTTGAAGTATTTGTTTGATTAAAAGAGGTGAACATGAGGCAAATTAGATGGTTATAATTTCTTAAAACTCTTTGATTTTTAGGTTAGTATTAACTATGGGAAAGCTAGTGTAGTATTGATGCTTTTAGTTAGAAATATTTGAGTGCATTCATTTTGATAGTAAAACATAGTGAGTTATTGGAACAATAAGAGATCTTAGTTTGAGAGGATTTACGATGATTTAACTTGTTACCCTTAGAATTGTTCTTGACACCCCCTCAAAATAGATTGAATAGATTATAATAATTTTGTTCAAAATTTTAACCAAAGTTTTAAAAAAATTTAGAGCAATATCGGAAATTTCAAACACATTCCAAAAATTCTTCAGAAAAATGAAATTTTTACTAGCAATTTTGAAATTTCTAAGAGATTTTACAAATAATTTTGAAATTTCCAAGAGATTTTACCAACAATTTTGAAAATTTCGAGATATTTTATCAAACATTTTGAAATTTTCAAAAGATTTTACCAATAATTTTAAAATTTATGAGATTTTACCTAACAATTTTGAAATTTTCCAATATTTTTGTGTGATTTTAAAATTTTCGAAATTAATTGCAATTTATCAAAAATTTCAAATAAATTATCGAAAATTTCCAACGTCATACCGAAAAATTAATTCGGAAATTTTTTTTTTTTACAAAGGACATTTTTTATATTAAAAAATTATGGGAAGGCGTCGGATACAATTTTTAGAATGGTAAAGTTAAAACCTCTTAGTTTGAGATGTAAAGTTCATCATGTTTGAAATGCTGAAAGAGAACCGATGTAAAGTTCATCATGTTTGAAATGCTGAAAGAGAACCGTTGATTTGTGAATAACATCAAAGAAAGCCATAAGCTGGATATACATTTTTTTGACGATGGATTAATGAGATTTAAGGAAGAGTTTATGTTCTAGATGTGAATTATCTAAGCAAATTAATTTATGAAGAAAGGCATAGAAGTTGATTTTGTAACTACCCTGAAGTTACTGAGATGTATAAGAGGTCTTAAGAGAGTGTTTTGAGTACCAATAATAAAGAAAACTGTACATTAGGGCATTTCTTAACCCACTTCATGATTTTCTATTGTATTATGCGAAAATTTCAAAATATCTTTGAAAATAATAAATGTATTTTCGATACGCACTAAAACTTGAATGTTAGTGGACAAGACCCAATGTACCAGTTGAAGATTAACCGCAAATATAACTACGGGTTGAATCGTAATTATATTTCTGGAAACACCCCAAATACACATAATTTTTAAGATTGAGAAACTCAAGTTAACACGCAGATACGAACCGGAAATACATTTACGGTTGGAACCGTAGTTATATTTTCAGTTCGTGTTGACCCTTAAAGGCGCACTGCCTCTTCCCCTTCCTTATTTTCATAAACCATTTGAAAGTAAAAGAACTAAACACGCAAAGCTCAAACCCCATTGTGTGAAAATCATCAAATTTTGTGAAAAGTTTATCAACAATTATCAAGCATCAGGCAAAGGTCATTGTTCAAGCAGATTCAAGCAAAAAAAATCATCACTTGTAAGTTGTTTTTGAGCTTTTTAAAATTTATGTAATTTTACCTACAAATTTTGTTTTAGGGTCGAAAATTCAATTTTTTTTAGTGTTTTCAATTTAGGAGTCATAAGAAACGTGTTAGGTTTTTTTTTTACAATCAATGACCTCTTTTTTGAGGTCATTGGACTGAGCTTCGCCATTGATGAAACTATAAAGTTGCAGGTCGTACCGAATATGTATTTCCGGTGTTGTTCAACGCTTACATCAAAACCAGAAATGCATATCTGGTTTTAGGCAGTTTGTATTTTTTAAATTTCTTGAACTTGAGTCTTATTGTTAACGTTTGTTTCATTCTTCTACAAGAGTAATAGTTGAGAGACCATCTAGATTGAGATATGACAGGCTTGCACAACATGCTACTGTATGGAAGGAAAGGAGTCAGGCATCACAGGCTCCTTCTGCCTCTGAACAGGTTGTGTCGGATGCACCTACGATATTTGATGTTTCTATTTTTACACCTATTTCATCGTCCTCCCGCAGCAGGCAAGGTTCTCCAGTTCACCCATCCCCGCCTCTGTTCTCCCATAGATGTGCTCTTCATCGATAGTATTTTAGATAACAGAGACATCCGGTTCCCAGCTAACACCGGAGGCATCTGAGGCCCAGGAACCTGAGGCCCCTGAGACACCTGCAGCTGAGGTGACATCTGCACCTCAGGCCTCTGCAGCTGAGGCGGCACCTACACCTCAGGCACCTTAGGCCCCTAAGGTACCTGCAGCTGAGGCGGCACCTGCGGTGCCTCAGAGTTTTGGAGGAGGGCCTGTTGATTTGTCATTGTTGCGTCTGTACCCGGACCATGTTGCTAGACATATCTAGTACAGAGAGATATGAATTTATAATTGTTCTTGTAATTTTTGTTGAATTTCTTTTATTATTATGTTTTGTTGAGTGAATTTTGTGAAACCATGTATGCAGGAACGTGATTCGTTGTAAGTCACTAATCATGCGCGGAAGATCACTAAACTCGAAGCTCCTAATGAGTTATGGTTTGATGAGTTGTTGCAGCTAACAAGGTTTAGAGATTTGACCCTCATTGGATATACTATCATTAATCATGGTATAATTAACGCTTTTATTGAGAGGTGGCACCATGAGACGTCATCGTTCCATCTACCACATGGTAAGATGTCGATCACACTAGATGACGTCGCATGTCTACTGCGTCTTCCGATAAGAGGGAGGATTTTAGACTATGACAAGTGCCACAAAGAAGAGGTGTTGGATTTATTGATAGATAGTTTGGGAGTTTCCCTTGAGAGTGTCATGACTTAGATGGACGCCAACCATGGTACTCACATCAAATTTAGTTATTTAAAGAAGGTGTTCACGAATAAGGTGTGCTATGAGAGCATACTTTTTGTATCTGATTGGCACAACCATTTTTGTAAACACTAGTGCCACTTACACTGATATCATGTACCTGGGATACTTTTGTTGACTTTAAGCAGATCCATAAGTGAAACTGGGGGGCTTCTTGTCTGGTGTACTTCTATCATAAGTTGTTTAAAGGCTGCAAGTGGAAGACGAAGCAGATGACCGGTAACATCACACTTCTGACGGTAAAATTTATTGGTCTTTTATTGTGATTTTGTTTTATTAATTATTGTGATTCTGTTACTAACTGATCTTACCGGATCAGAGATGGACCGTCACAACTGGCTCAGGAAGAAGGCGAGTGAGATGGAGGGGGTACCTGCAAGACACTCTGATGGCAAAGTAAGAAGCGGAATGAGCAAGCAAGTAAGAGTTCTGAGATATGAGTTGAATACCTGACCCTCTCGGAAGAGAGGGTATTTATAGCCCCCAGCGTTGGGCCAAGGTCTCTTTATTGGGCTGACCAAACAGGCCCAACAAAGAGACTGTCAGGTTCTACGTGTGTAGTGGGGACCCGCACGTGGCCCCCTACCTGGATAACGTCCTCCGCAAGACAGGGAGGATAGGGACGCGATCTTTCCGAGACCATGAAGACTCCGTGAAATCCGGAGAGGTTGGAAGTTAGCCCTACGAGGAAGGTGCTTGGAAGGAGCGCGTGCTCGTTGGAGATGGTCTCTGCGAGCACCAACGGGAAGCAGTCTTAGTCGATAAGACATTTGTGGTCGGAATGTGCTCGGGGGAAATACTGCTCAGTGCACCAGGTTGGCAAGCTTGGATTAGGCCTCACTGGTAGTTGGGCCAAGGGCAGGCCCAGTCCAGAACAGGAGCCCCCCAAGTCGTTGTTCCTGGTGAAGGAGTTATGACTTGATTCAAGTTTTCCCCTTCGCGAGACTCGTTGCGCGACACGGGGTTTTTCTACCATGGACGGAAGACGTCGCCTGGTTCATGATTTGCTTCGTGCAGTGGTCAAAGAGTGTTCGAGGAATACTCGTGGGGAGTGGATGATACACTAGTCAGACACGTGGCGT